GCCCAGGACCCTAAGGACAGGAACGCCAACTTCCTGTCCAGCCGGCAGGACTAAGCCGCAACTCACCGACCTACGGGCTGCGTCTCTGCCCTGTCCTAGGATGCTTCCTCCCCTCCTGCTGTGCTCCCAAGAGCCACTCACTGCTCGCCACTCCACTTGGCCTCCATTGGTGACGTCTCCCCCGCTGGTAGGCTCGCTCCGTGCCCTCCCATTGGGCGCGTTCACCCTTCCCAGTTTGCCGCCTTCTCAAAGGACTTCGTCCCTTTTCTAAGCCGGCGCCCTTGCTAAGAGACTCTGGCACATGTCCGGTACTGCCAACCAGCTCAGAGGCACTGGGTGCCACCACGCAGGTGCGAGCCGCGGCCGCCAAGCATTCCCAGCATGGCCTCGTGCACACCCCAGCACTGATGCAGAACGTTGCAGTAGTGCAAGGGGGGGCGGGACGCTGCGCGAGCTTTCGCCACCCCATCACACACACCCCCCTTAAGTCTCTGACCCCTTTTTCGCTTGTGGTCTCATCTACCTCACCCACTCTTGAAAAGAAGTCTGCGTTCATGTGGTTCTTCCCTGGCTGATGTACTACCTCGAATTTGTAGGCTTGCAGCACCAGGTACCATCTCATCACCCATGCATTTATGTCCTTCATCGACTGCAGCCACTTTAGTGGGGCATGGTCCATCACCAATCTAAATGCACTTCCTAGCAGATAATACCGCAGGGATTCTATTGCCCATTTCACAGCCAGAGCTTCCTTCTTCACTGTTGCAGATGCTTGTTCCCTAGGGAATAATTTCCTGTTTAGATACAATATGGGGTGCTCCTTCTCCTCTATTTCCTGTGCCAGGTCGGCCCCTAGTCCGACAGCCGAGGCGTCTGTCTGTACAATAAATCTTTTGAAAAATCGGGCTGAGCTAACACCGGTGCTTTCATGTCTTTAGTTCCCGAAATGCCCTTTCTCACGATTCTGACCACCTTACTCTCTTGGTCTTGGACTGTCCCCCCCCCCCTTATTAAATCCGTAAGGGGTGCTGCTATGGTCACAAACCTAGGTATGAATCTATGATAATATCCAACTAATCCTAAAAACTGCCGGACTTGCTTTTTGGTTGTTGGCATTTTGTATTCTGCTAGGGCTTGTATTTTACTAACCAGGGGCCTCAATCACCCTCTTCCCATGGTACACCCTAAGTACGTCACTTCCCGCCAGCCTATATGGCATTTTGCGGGGTTCGCCGTTAGACCAGCCTCCTCTAATGCCCGAAGTACTGCCCTCAGATGTTGTAAATGTTCCTTCCAGTTTCTGAGATACACAACATCATCGATATAGGCCACCGCAGAGAGCTTATGGTCTTGGAGCACCTGATCCATTAACCGCTGGAAGGTAGCGGCTGTCCCGTGTAGCTGTCTTTTCTTTGGACCCACCACAACCCCTCCTCCCAGGCTTAAAGGAAAAAAACAAGTTTATTCACAGATCATTGACCTGAGTATTGGGCCATTAAATTCCTTGAGTATTACTAATGGCCCTCACTTAGCATAACTACAGGTTTATATTTCATATTTCTAACTTCAAGTACAGGAATGATACATGTATACAAATGGTATAATCATATTCAGTAGATTACAACCTTTCCAGTGATATCTCATATGAAGAATCTCACCTAAAGAATATTATGTCATAGTTTTATTCATAAGCATATTCCCATAAAGAATATGAAATATCCCATCACACCTTGTGCAGTGATTTTTTTTAAACAAAAAAGAGCAAGATAAGTTGCCCAAATTCATTTCTGTTGTTTATTGAGCAGTATTTAATGCCCAAGGCTCAACATGAAAGGCAGGTATAATACACAGAGCCATCTCCTTTCTAACATAAAAGAAATCAGTAATATAGAAGTGTGAGAATAAAGTAAAAGCATCTTTGGATCGTCTTCACACTCGAATGGATCAATAGCTTTTTATAGCTAGATAAAGTTTAAATGATTTTTTAAAGGATAAATTTCCTTTCTGCCTTGCTTGAAGTATTGACCGCTCTGGCATCTCTGCTATCTTCCCTTCCCCAGAGTTGTTGAGAGAGGATGGCAGGGACCATCTAATCCCTCCCTCCTGTGCAGGTGAGATGGTTGCTTCCACTCTGCCGAGCCTGTTTGTTCAGTTTCCCCAGCTCTAGCACAAAATCCTCTGAGGTCACAATGTGGAGTTCTGATTGTCCCATATCCATGAGGACTGAACTGCCTAAACTGTTCTAACCTGTGTTGGTATTTTGCTAAGGCTTAAGCTTTGTTGATGAAATAAAATGAAACGGGACTCTCTTCCCGGAGGCAGCTCAGCTCAGCCACTGTTGATAGCAACTGATATCTCTTACTCAGCGCTAGATCTCAAAGCATTTCACAAAGGAGAAAGTCTCATTGTCCAGATGAGGAGCTGAAGCATAGAGCAATGGTGTGACTTGTCCAAAGTCACCCAATAGGCCCACGGCATAACTGAGAGTAGAATCCAGGTCACACAAGTCCCAGTGCTCTATCCACTAGACATCGCTGCTGCCATTATTCTTCAATTTTATTGTTCAATCGCTGTTGAAATGTGCATATTTGATTCCTCGGAGAGTTAATGCTGGTTAAGCGTAACCTTCCAGAGAAGAAGTGGGCCTGGATTTGTGCAACAATACTAAGGTATGAAAGGGTTTCTGGGAGTCAGCAGTCATATCCCCCAGCCTGGAGCACAGGTATCGAAGTCTAAAAGAGAGGCTGAAAAAAGATTCTACCACCCTGACTTTAACATGCAGTCACCTTCCTTTAATGCAGAGTAAGCGGTGAATACTTTCCCTTTTCTATGGCCAGTGTTGAATTCCACAAGAGACTGGTGATTCTGTAGTCATGGGGTTGCAGAAAACTCAGACCCTTGGGCATAAACTAGCCTGGGGACATCCTGCTATGTCAAACAACCAGACGGGTTATTTTTAAAATGGGGAGTTCTGCATACAGGCTTTCCTGTCCCAGTCAGCTGCAGAAGAAGCAAAGGCAGGATTTATTAGCCATATAGCAGGAGGCAGGCTGTATTTAATGGGAAAATTGCCTCTTTAAAATATATTTGTATTATAATAAAAATGTTTAATATTTCTATTAGCCTATCACAGACACAATATTTCATTCAATAGGACTCATTTACCAATTCCAAGAGAGCATATTTTTGTTGTAAGCAAACTGTTGCTTTCAGAGTCAAGAAGTGGTATAAATCCTTGATAATGTCAAAGGGTTTAGGGCTTAACCCTGTAGTCATTTATATTAGTGGCATGATTCTGGATAACTTAAATGGTGCAGGATTGGGCCATTACTGAGGAATGATAAAGGGTTTTGGTCTAGTTTGTTTTTTGTCTTTAAAAAGAGAGCTACAGATTAAATCAGAGACCAACGATGAATGGTACTTGTGAATTTCTAGTGGTACCATACCCTGGATACTGTCATAAATAAATGAAACTAAAATGCATTATTTGGCTACTTCTGAGTTTGAACTCTTTTAAACATCAGCTAAAGTAGTGGTTTCCAAATTCACTTGTAAATGTATCACTTATTTAGGGAAAACCAGTTGCCATTTTTAAAATATATTGAAATAATTAAATATTTCCAAAGCTACAGATAGATATAATCCCAAGAAAATAATTTTAGAAAACAAACACATTTAAGGAAAATCAAATGGGAAAACTCATTTGAAAATGAAGGATGCCTGGGAAAAATGAAAACCTGGAATCATTTTTGGACATACACAGATACACACTCTCTTTCTCCTTCCTTCTTAGGTCTCAAGTATATTTCACTTTATAGTATATATTATAGCTGTATGGATACTTTTCAGTTTGTTCTTTTAATTATTCTGTGCATTATCTTTGCATGTATATATTCAGCACACTGAAAGACTTGTATCACATGAAATGTAAATTTTATAGCATTAGAAATTTGGTCATAAACAGAGATGAACATCCTGACTATACAAATACTTACACTAGTGCTTAATTTCAGTGGGCATACTTGCATGCCTTGTGTACAAGTCCTTGAATATTAGCAAATGCAGGCCTAGCTGTCCATTACATTTATAGTGCATAGGCATTGGGTACTATCCCCATAAATCGTTTCAGAGTTCACTAATATTCATGGGTGTTTACCATTTCCTAAAAAGATACAATATACAAGGCCTAGTAACATTTATGTACACTGCTGCTTTGTCTGGCTTCTAAAGCACAGAAAACAGTGAGGACCACCAGTGGGATCACAAACTATTTAAAAGGACACCACCCAATTCCTATGCATTTCAATACATTGGAGGAATGCTTTTTTTTTTTTTTTCATTTAAATTAAAACCTTCAAACTAGGATCTTTTATTAAACTAGCCTTTTAACTTAAAAACCACTCCTGAGGAATTCCTCTAAACAGGATTTGAGAAAAACAACGGGACTCCAGGTGAGAGACTTGCTGCTGGAATTCACTCTGTAAAAAAATTGCTGCCATCCTGCATATGTTGCTGTTTAGAATGTCTATAACATCTTTTCCATGGTACTTTCTATTAAAGGCAGCTTTACTTTGCTCCGTTCAGCATTATACTTTTTAAAAATCATGCCTATGCTCTTTATTGATTTTTTTTTGTGTGCACTATGGTGGAGCAGAAATGTCATGCAATGCTGCTAGTTACTGTCATAAGAATGGAATAAGACAGTCTCAATACGCATCTCATGTTTGCTAGGTTTGATATGCTATTGGAGGTTAAATGGTGTCACCTAGAGGACAAACATGTGTATTGCAGACATACTTTTTTACAAAGTTCTTTCCTTCCTTCCCATACTTAGAATTGTCTCTTCCTAAAACTATAGGAAAACTGAGCTTGTCTTTTGTCTGTCTTAGTAATATCTCAGTCCATTTATTAATCATATTGATGCTGTAACTGAGAGTTAAATTCCATCCGTCTTGTATAACTGCATTCTGACTTTATAAAAACATTTGCTCTGAATTCAGATATAGATGAGTGCTCATTCGAAAGGACTTGTGACCATACCTGCATCAACTACCCAGGAAGTTTTGAATGTCTCTGTCACAAAGGCTACACCTTGTATGGCATGACACACTGTGGAGGTTTGGAGACTGATTTTAATTTCTTTATACTTGTTTTGTGTAACCATCTACTGAACCAAGGATATTTGCCTTGCTAAGACTGTAGACACCATATGAAAGCTAAATAAACCTAGGCAGGTGGGACCAAATATATGGAGCCTCAAATCTGCCTAGATGTTCTTGGGAGAAGGGTGTGACTGGAAAAGTGGCCACCCATCATTTCTGTTGTAATAGCATCCAAAGGCACCAATTTAGACCATGATCCTCCATTGTGATCCATGCAAGCTGATGGCTGCATCTCCATGGAGCCTCACCCGTGTCAATGAGCCTCCACAAGGACACAACAGCCCTCTGTCATGGATCCCAGTGCAGGGGAGAGAGGGGAAGAGACAGTGGGATGGGGCTGGGGGAGCGAAGGGAATGGGATGGGCCAGGGGAAAGTTGGGACAGGAAAGGAGATGGGATGGGACAGAAAAGGGAATGGGCAGAGGGAAGCAGGATCCCAGCATGTGGCACCTCTCAGCAGCAGCAACATCCCCAGCCTCAGCAGGGAGGCAGCTGTGGCAGCGCCAGAGCAGTCACATCACTGCAGTAGCTGGTGCCACAGTGGTCGCTAGCTGCAGCTAGGGCTCCCTTGTTAATCTGGCCCGTCACTCCCCAGCACCAACAGCCCACATATCACTGTAGGCAGAGGGGGGAGAGCCAGTGAGCCAAGAGAATTGCCTTCAGTGTGTGTTTGTGCACGTGTGTGCATGCATATGTGTACACACACACACACACACACTTGCTCTTCCTCCTCCTCTCCCCAAAATATAGCAGTCAGACTATGTCTGTGTTGTGTCTCAAATGTCTTGGGACTAGCACAGCTACAACAGTGTCGCAGGCAGTTTCCACATGGGTAAAGTTACTGTCAACAGTGACATGCAGTCATGGGAGCTGCTTCTTGCAGAGGGTGCTCACCCTACCCAGCTCCTGTTGACTGCTTGCCTTTGTGGATGACACAGCCCTCCAGCCGAGAAGAGTCTAGTTCAGTGTAACCAGAAAATCCAACTAATATCCAAAGTTCCTGCAGATCAGCCCATCTTCTGCATTCTGTTCCCACTCCCCTTTCAAGGATTGCTGTAGAGTCTCCTCCCGTGCTCCACTATTGAGCACTGGCTCCATCAAAAAAATCCTGAGCTTTGAATCTCCTGCAGACCCCAGCTTTAGAGACCAGGACAGGAGCTTTTTTCTTCCCTAAGAGATTTCTTTGCCTTCTTGCGAAAGAGGGTTTTTTTTCTGACATTTGGCCCCATATCGGAAAAACCTCTTATGCACAAAGAATCATAAGATAATATGCAAATGTGAGCACGGTTTGCATATCTTCTTCCGAGAAACAATGGCAGTGTAGCCATAGCATCAGACCCAAGTGTCACCTGAACCCTCCTCACCCTGCCTCTGTTGACTGAAAAGCAACTAATTACTTGCAGCACAGATGTAATCAATGTGGTTCACTGTCTCTTAACCCTTTTAACCCATGATGGCCCCTGTGCATGTATTTGCAGGGTTTGGACCTAAGATGACAAGCAACTTACAAGGGGTATAAGAGAGGAATGGTATTTTTGCCTTCATTATTACGAATAATAGTTCCATTATTTTTAAATAAATAAAAATACACCCTTTATATCAGTCTACCGTCAATGCTCTCTTAATCAGTTGGTTAATTTAAAACAGGTTTTTTTCCCAAGCTATTAAAGCATAGCCCTTACAACATATTGTCCAGATTCAAAGCATGTTATGTACATTCTCTAATTAATCCTCCTCTTCCAGTTAGAAATGTTAGTAGTATCCCCATTTTATAAACAAGGCCCATCTTGCCTGGGGGAGAGAAGTGCAGAAGCTGGAGAGGAAAAGAAGGGCCCCTGCCACAACACCAATCTCACACCTAAATCGTAACAGCTGATAATCTGGATTGGGGGAAGGAATATCTGATGGTGTTTAGAGGGTGTTGTGACAGAATAATAGCTGTAGGGCCATTTTCCCCCTCACATAGCGGGTACAGTGGAAACTTTGCTATAGCCACAACTTCTGCAGGATCAGGAACAGAGAATTTCAGGCCCACTTTGGGATTTAAGTCCACTGCATAGCTGCTCTATCACATAGCTGCTCTTTGGCCATTGCACTGGCTATCACTCTGAGGGTATGTCTACACTGCAATTAGACACCCACAGCTTGCTCCTGCCAGCTGCCTCGGACTCAGGAGTCTCAGATTGTGTGGCTGTTAAACTGTGGTGTAGATTTTCTGGCTTGGGCTGCAGCCTGAGTTCTAGGACCTTCCCATCTCCCTGGGCATGAGACCTGGGCTCCAGCCAAAGCCTGGAAGTCTGTTCTGTAGTTAAACAGCCTTGTAGCCCAAGCCCCATGACCTGAGTCAGCTGGCACGGGCCAGCTGCTGGTTTTTAATTGCAGCCTAGACATACTCCGAGGGATTTCTGTGGTGGTCTAGCTGAACATTTAAAAATACTGGTCAAAGGAAAACAATAGTTTTTTCCTTGTGGAATATGTTAAGTGTAGGTAGCCTGAACAATGATTTCATAATGCTGATCTCATTAGTTAAAAATACAGGGGAAACAAAGAAATGGTACGAGTCCATTTGTTCCTTCCTAGAGCCTTAAATCTAAATTAATGCTAGAAAACGCCGCGATTCAAAAGGAATTTTCCATTTGTTCTCTTTACTTTAAAAGTAATCAGTAGTAAAAGTAGCGTTTGGTGGGTTTTCCAGAGGACCCTGAAATTATGCAAAGTATAATCTGAGTAAAATGTGTGTTAAGCTGTAACCAAAAGTATATTCAGATCATGTTAAGGGTCTAATTTTAATCCCACAAAAGCAAAGTATTCAGAGCCAGATTCTGCTCTGTCACCCCCAGCCAGCGTAGAAGCAGAACAAGTCCATTTAGTTCAGTAGAGTTACTGGGAGCAGAATTAGTCTCTAAAGCTACGTCTACCCTGCAGGTATTTGTCGGCAGAGACTATGCTACCGAAGCGCTCATTAGCATTTGTCGCGCTATCATTTGCATATCTCTGCTGATGCTTTTTGCGCAAAAACAAGCTGTGTAGATAGGTCCATTTTGCGCATGAAAACCCCTTTTGCGCAAGATCCCTTATGCCTCCAAAAAGGAGGTGGACGGGATCTTGCGTAAAAGGGTGGTTTGAGCAAAACGGACCCATCTACACTGCTTGTTTTTGCGCAAAAAGCATCGGCAGAGATACGCAAATGATAACACGACAAATGCTAATGAGCGCTTCGGTAGCATAGTTTCTGCCGACAAATACCTGCAGTGTAAACATAGCCTAAGAGTGAAAATCTATATAAGCATTTCCCCCACATACTACAGTACTAGCAAGATCTATCACTGCTAAGGGATAATAGGGCATACTAATTATATCGGGCTAAATTCTGATTTTGATTCAATGATCATACAACTCAGTTTGATATATAGAAGTAACTGAGGCACAATTTGACCTATTGTTCCTGCCTGAATTCCCCAGTTTTTGTGGTGTTAAATTGAGACCTCTACTTATGATACCTAAGTCTTCTCTTTGGGAAAGAAGCAGGAGTAAACTGAGGCTGAACCCTGGGAAGGGGTCACAAGAGAAAGCATGTGCATGCAGTGAATTAATGAGAGAGCAGAACTATCCAGGGTCTGGGTTACAGAAGTCCAAGGAATCAGTTTTGAGAGCGGTGAGGATCTATGCTAGTTAGGGAAGTAAGAGGAGATGCTTAGGTTGAAAGAGGCCCCGTTTGTTTTTTAATAAGAGATGGGCCAAGACCCAAACCTTAGATCTAAATACCCCTAAACTTTGGGTCAGGCTGAATTCAGAATCAAATATCATGGCTGGCCAAATTTCCGTAATGGGCAGAACCAAAATCTTAGATCTGAATCTACCCTTGTTCAGATCTTGGTCTGGAGCTGAGCTTTACAGATCAGACCTCTGTTGCTAGGTTTCATCTGTTCATGGAGAAGGATGTTTATGATTAAATAAACAAATCATTTGGGTATAGTCCACAGGGCACCGAGCAAAAATTAAAGTTCAGACAACCGGGAGGGGAAGAAGAGAGGAGGGAAAATAACACATTTCAGAAACCTGAAACAGGTTTATTTAAAGTTTGGTTTTTAATAAACTTTTTAATTTGTATTATCTGGGGCAGGGAATTGGCAGGGTTCTATTTAGGCCAAACCAGTTCAGACTTATTTCTCTCTCTCTCTCTCTCTTTAATAGCATCTAAATAATAAAAGGGAGTGTCCTTATTAGGGGCCATAGCATGCCCTCTCTCTGCATGCATAATCCTTATTGCTCTCACTAAACCTCTGCTAGAAGCATATGTTACAGTAAAGGCCAGCTGTACTTAAATTGTACATTTTTCACAGTCCTTAGTCTGACACTACATCTACACTGCGGAGCTATTTTGGAATACCAGAAGTATCCCAAAATAGCTATTCCACATCTTTAAAGCAGCCCGTTATTTTGAAATAAATTTCGAAATAACAGGCACGCTATTCTGGCATCCCTGTAACCCTCATTTCACGAGGGACATTTCAGAATAGTGCTTTATTTTGAAATTTGGCACTGTGTAGACTATTTTGTAAGCTATTTTGAAATTATCTCAAAATAAGCTATGCAATTTGCATAGCATAAATTGCATTGCTTATTTCGAGGTAAGGGTGCAGAGTAGACTCACCCACACTGTCTGACAATGCAACTACTCCCAATAAGTAGTTACTCAGGTGAGTAGCCCTGTAGAAGTCAATAAAACTACAAGTATCCAGCACCTTTGAAACCAGGTATCTTCTTTAAAGCTAGCTAGAAAATAAAAATCCCTTCCCACAAAAAAAAAAAAAACAACCCTAACACAAACAAACATGTTTTTTAAAAACATCCATCCTCAATTGGTTCAAATGCCAGGAGAACCAAACCAGAATTTTTCCACTTCTCAGTTGGTCTCCTAAGAGAATCCTGTCAAATTCCTTTTGTGAAAACGTCAAGAACCATCCTGTTCCAGTCTAGAGATGCAGAGAATTGGGGTGCCCACTTCCCTCCCCATCTACCCTTTCCTTCAATTCCAGGACCAGAAAGGCAGAAAGCCAGGGCCTTGTGGATGAGTCCCATCACTCCAGTTCTCTCTGTCCCTCCAGCTCCTGAAGCTGGGAAGAAGCAGAGTCAAGATGTTCAGGTCCAGAGCCCTCCAGGAAAGCTTTTCTCAATTTTACTAGCAAAAAATGAACTTGTCAACAGCCTTGCAGGCAACAGGGAGCAGGGGAGTTGGCATTTCACCTTTCAAGAAGCAGTCTTCGGTATTGCCAATGCCAAATATTCAAAAATGTTGAGTCAGACTCCCCCCAAAAATACAATTATTAATTTAGAGAAATCTCCTGATTTTTCAGCCAAACAGGTTATTTTTCTGAGCCTTTATAGTGTAGTTGCTTCATATTTCCCAGCTTTTCTTTACAACCATGAAGGTCAGAAGCTTTACTTTTTAAAAGAGATGCAAGCTAAGATTTTCATGCTGTCTCTTGATTCCAACATCTGTGGCTTGAAGAAAAACACCAGATAGCACACAACTTGCAATAAATTCATGAGAGTTGGCAACACAGCAGTGAATATAGTTAAGTACTTTATGACTGCAGAATAATGGGTTTCTAGTGGCTAAAACCAAACTTATTTTTCTGTGAAGGAACAAACACACATTATGATCCCTAAATTAATTACAAAGCTGGGTCTCTTTTCAAGCTCATGCAGGTAGTGGCTGCAACAGCACTGAATATATATTTTACTTTTCTATATATTTTACTTCTTCAGGATATAAATGAAATCTTACATAAATGCTGATTGAATACATTAAGCAATGCTTAATTCTGAACAAATATTTCTAACATTTAAAGCCTTTAACTAGAATATCAGTTGATGCATTTTTGATAATTGCTTTGCCTGGCTATAACAAGACTCCTTTTCATTAGTACCATCTGAGTAGTAGACTTAACAAATTATATATAATATACTCAGCCCCATCAAATATGTATTTTCTCCCTTCACCATAATCCATCTTTCAAAACATATGTTCTGTTCCTCTATATTGTACTACTTATGGTATGAATAATATATCTTTCTGATAAGTAAAAATGATTAAATCTCACAGAAAAATACTGCTTTGAAGTTGTCAGTACAATATGCATTATGGTTCCAATCCTGCCGTGAGTTAAACATCTGCTTTACGTATTGAGTAATTCTGTGAATTTTAGTGTGACTAGTGATAGTAAAAACTTGAAAAATAACAGATAGTCTAGCAGCACCTTTAAGGTGCTGCTAGACCATTGTTCTTTAAGTTTTTCCAGTTACAGACTAACATGGCTACCCCCTGTAGCAAGTGACAATAAGTAAATTTAAGCACATCTTTGCAAGATTAGGGACTATATAAGTGCCTGAATAAAGATACTTAGATATTCTTTGTACTAAAATGTTTTGCAGTCTGCATTATACATATTAATATAAAATTATTATATAAATATTCTATGACGTATAATGGATAGATACTGTTTTTACTACACAATATGTGTATTACATAATGTATAGTACCATCCTGAACTGTTTCAATATATTTTCAGATGTCGATGAATGCAGTATCAACAATGGTAGTTGTGACTATGGGTGCATTAATACAATGGGGAGCTATGAGTGTGTCTGTCCACCTGGAAAGAAGCTACACTGGAATAAAAAAGACTGTGTTGGTAAGTGAGTAACGTTTATTTTCACATGATCCGTGTTGTGCCTTTTTTTTTTTTCTTCATTTGGGTACAATAACTTGGAAAAGTCAGAAATACAAACCTAGTTTTGATGGACCACATGGTTGTCTGTGATACTGTGTGTGTAGTCAGGTATTGCCTGGTAAGTTTCTGTTGCCACCACATCCAATCTTTTTCTTGTGCTAAACACAGCAGATGATGCTGGAACAATATCTACTGACCCTATCTCATAAACATATTTTAAATTGATTTGCATATTTTTGATTTACATATTTTTGGTATGATTGTTGTTTAACCTTTCATTAACAAGGGTAAAACTCTTTTCATTTTGAGCATCATCCGATAGCTGTGTTAGGGGCCTGATTCTGCAATCCTCATTCAGGAAAAACACCCACTTACTCCAATCTATGTTCCTGCCTAGTGAAGACCTCAGGGTTAGCCCTAGGTTTAAAATAACACAATATAACCCTAAAGGTTGTTTAAGGTTCTTTGGTGGCCTACATGATATCAATTGATGGTGTCCTATCATCTTCTTAAGGCTATGTCCACATCACAGAAATGGCAACTACTGCTGATACTAATTAAGCATTAATTGACAGAGGTCAGTGGTAGAGTGAATGCATAGCCTGAACTTCCTCTTGTCCCTAGGGACAAGGAAAGGTTGACCGTGAATGCCTGAGGGCACAAACCTTTGAGAAAGAGCCTGGTCTTCGGGCGGTTTTGTTTTGTTATAATTTTTATTATTATTATTCCAAAGAACAGAGCAGACTTTGTAAGGAGAATAATTTACACATGCACACCAAAGCACAAACTACAAATACTCAAGCATGTGTATGAATTTATGTACCTAAATAATCTCCTTATGGGACTATGCCCACGCATTCATGTTTGCAGGATTATGGCCAAACATCACTCCTGCACTGAAACAAAAGACAGGACTATGCAGCACTTTAAAGACTAACAAGATGGTTTATTAGGTGATGAGCTTTCGTGGGCCAGACCCACTTCCTCAGAGATTTTGTCTTTGTGCTTCACTTCCCTTCCAGAGTGGAACTTCAAGGTCAGCCTAGAAACCGCTGAAAACAGAGTTTCTTCCTAGCTCTCTGACTACTCCTTAGCCTTTTGGGTAAAATAAAACCTAATATGAGTTCAGTATCTGATGCATCCTTTATGAGAACTAAATTCTGCCCTTACAGGATTCATTGATCCAGTAAGTCTTCACTGTATTGAAAGATTTTTTAATGCCACCTAGCTTCAAGTATAGTACCTCAACTGCCTTGTAAGACAGGAAAAGGCACAGGAATGGACAGCTAATAAGAACACTGAAGAGTAACAAAGTGAAGTCATGTCGACATTCTACAATATTTCCCTGTTACACAAAACAGAGATCATCCGCCCCTTTCAGCAAGCTTCATATGAATTACATTTTTTTAAATGGATGGTGCTGACATTTTAGAAATAATTTAACCATGTGTCTAGGATTAAAACTGCTAGGAACTAATATAAAGTATTGTATGTATTGATAGCCAGACAAAAGAATAGATAAAGGAAGTTTACTTTCTAGCCCAGTGGTTCCCAAACTTTTTGAGCATACGGACCCCTTTTCAATCTATTAAAATGTCATGGACCCTTCCCCCCCTCGCTGGGAGAGAAAAGAAAAAAAAAGAAAAGGTTTGGGCCCCCTGTGGTGTGCCCAGTCCTTACATTTAAACTTCCCACAGACCCCCTGCAATACCGTTGTGGACCACCAGGGGTCTGCAAACCACAGGTTGGGAACCACTGTTCTAGACTCTACACGTCTCTATGGAAAGCAGTATGATCAAGTAGTGCAGTAGTTTACAAACTTTGCAGACCAGCAAACCCATTCACAAACTTTCAGCGGACTGGTAACATTTTATTTGCATATATATTATGCAACCCCCACTGGTGCCAGTCCCCCCGCCCATTCCAAACACCTCAGCACCAGGCCCTGCTCTTAGAGCCCCCCAACCACCAGATCCCCCAGTGCCAGCCTCCTGTTTCCAGAGCCCCACTGCACCCAACCGCCCCGGGCTCCCTCCAGTGCCAGCCCCCAATATTAGTCCCATCCCCAGAGCTCCCCAGTGCCAGCCCTTCCCCCGTAGCCAAATTATAATCATACATTTTCTTTGTAATATCTTTTGGAAGACTGAAAATAAAATATTCTTCTCAACTGACATTGTCCATTATTATTTGATGGTCAAAGATTTCTCCCCTGTACTTCTAATGAGGATTAAAATGAACATAATCTTTCTGCTGACCTTCTTGATTCTTACCAGCATAATCTGGAGAAAACTATGTTATAAACTACAACATGAGAATATATGAGCATCAGGAGGTAGAGGAGGAAGAGACCTAATTGCAGTGAATGCTAAATAATTCCTGAACGCTCATGCTACAGAATCCTCTTTGGCTCAATGGTAGTAAGTTGTAAACTTCTCTGTTCAGAGATTTCAGTGTTTTACACACATTATTCAATTAAGCATCAAATCAGCCCTGTGAGAGTAGTTAGTATGATGATTTCCTTATTCCAGCAAAAGCGACAAGGAGTCCAGTGTCACTTCAAAGACTAACACATTTATTAGAGCATGAGCTTTCGTGAGATGCATCTCACTTCCTCAAATGCTTGAAAAGAAGGGAAAGGAAGGGATGGGAAGGAAAGAGAGGCAACGCAGTGGATGTGGCTCATCTCCAACAGTGCTGAGTAGGTGAAAGTACCTGAAAGGGAATTTACTTTTATAATTACATTACAATACAATGTACTCGACACACCTGTGCTAATTTTATTCTCGCTCGCATGGTTAAAAATACCGGTGAAAGTGGTAGCAGCGTGGGCTTGAGAGTTAGCTGTGCAGTCCCACCAGGGATCCCGTGAGCACACACTCACATTGCTAGCCTGCATCAGGGTTGGTGCTGCTGTGTCTTCCCTGCTATATGCAGTCATGTTAGCACAAGTATGCCAACCCAACCCCATAAGCATGGGAGGTAGGAATATGAGGGGGGGCTGCAGCACCTGCAGGCTTTGCACAAGGCGTCCTGGCCACCAGTCCTGGCCACCAGCCTTGCTACCCATGGGCCTTGCCACTGGCCCTGCACCTCTGCCATCTAGAGTCCTGGCCAACAGGATCTCTGCTGCATGGCTTGCTGCTGCCTAGGGCTTTGCTACCAGCCCCGGGTCCTGCCCATCTATGCATCCCACTTGGCTGCTGGCCTGTGTCTGGGGGCTTTACTGCTAGCCCCACATGCTGGGTCCTGCCCAGCCACTGGACTCTCTCCTTGCTGCTGCTTAGCACCCTCCACTACAAAAATTGTTCCAGCACCACTGTCCTTGCCACAATCTTCCCTCTGATTACAGTGTCCATATGCTCATATATGGCCACTCTGATTTTGGATAGAGTTTAAGCAAGACGGGACATACAGAAACGTGATTTAGTTTTGAAAACCCAATTTACCCTTTAGCATCTGCTTGAAGAAGGGCTTAACAACCCTTCACCTCCTTAGTTCAAACAAAAGAAACATTCAGGTTATAAAATGGAGCAAAAGAAAAGTGTTTAGGTAACGCGTGGTAGTGTGGATCCTGATGCCACCTGGCGGCTACAGATGAGAAATTCACAGACTAGTCATTTACATTTATGATAAAGATTTGTGTTTAAATAGTTCCTTGCATCTCAGGGGATTTCAATTTAAATCCTTTATTGGGATCATTT